TGGTAACCATCAAATCACTAAGTTGATGCAGATGTCGATCCAGCAGAAGTTGGTGTCGTTTCGGGTGGATAAGAGCGAGGGGTATTCCACGATACTATGAATCACGCTCTTTCCACGGAATCCCACGGACGGAGGTGTTGCCACAGACGGGGGTGAAACTAATCCCACGGATCCCGCGGGGATGCTTATCATTTCATGGACGGAGGTGCTTATCACGGGAAGTAAAATACCCCTGAAAATTACAGCGGTATTCTGGTCAATTTATTTATTTGAATAATGTTTCCAATATTTTTATTAGATGTGTCTTGATGACAAGAGTGGAGGATCCAAATTTCAAGTGATTTGCATTAATGGAAAATATATTAGTATTCAAATATGAAATACAATTGTGACCATCAAATCGGCCCAGATTCAATCTGGGCCGTTGGACTTAATACTATTCCATCAGCTATTGGGCTGACATGATCTTTTCCCACATGTGTGTGTATATATATATGTGTGTTTGTGTGTGTGGGTGTGTTGGACACATGTATTAATATGTTAAAATTATACATATACATGCATGTTTGTGCATTCGGAACAGACATATGTCCATGTAAATGCGTGTAGTGTGCCTCAAAACTGAGGAGCATGTGTCACGCCTAAGCGACTGGCCCTCCGGCACTACATCGCCCTTTCTTCAACATTGGTTGGAACTTTGAGGCACAAGAACACTTGTGATAATTTTTGTGTGTGTGTGTGTGTGCCTGTGTGTGTGTGTGCATGTATGTGTATGGATGTGTATGTCTATATTGTGTGTATTTCGATCTAGTTTGGCCGCCATGGTTTCAGCAAACATCCAAAACAGTGGAAACAATGGGTCAATAGTGTTTCCACCCACGTTTCTTGTGGCAGATCAAAAACAATGGGAGAATTAGTTAAACAGTGGATTGTCCACCTCCTTATCTTTCTATTCAATGCTGACATGGGGGGAAGGTCCTAGCAACCCAAGTTATTTATGAAAAAATAAAAGACCCATGATGCATTAACTCTTTATAATCACAAAAGCATAAATAATAGGGAAAATATCTCATTATCCCCTATTTTTAACTTCCATATCTCAAGAGACCCAAGAATTGAAAATATTACTTGTAAGCAAAAGGTCTTACAACCCCCTGGACCTCTTTGACCAATAAATTTTTGACCCAAACAAACACTAAAATGATACCCTATTCAAACTATATATCTCTCTCTCTCTAAAACTCAATCTGTCTCTCTTCGCTTCTCGGTGAGTTTACCAGCCAAGGGGTTTACCTTGAGCTCGAACACTAGCACACTTCTTATGTGTGAGAGAGAGATGGAGTTTTAGAGAGAGAGATGGAGTTTGGGTTTTAGAGAGAGATGGAGTTTGAGTTTTAGGGAGAGAGATGGAGTTTTGAAAGAGAGAGACAATGATGTGAGAGAGAGAGATGGAGTTGGGTTTTAGAGAGAATTGGAGTTTTGAGAGAGAGAGAGACGATGATGTGAGAGAGAGATGGAGTTTTAGAAAGAGAACGAGATAGAGTCATTTCATAAGTTATTGAGATCAATAATACATAGTCAAAAGGGTTTAGGAGGTTGGTAGATAGAAAAGATGAAGTCCTTTTGCTTACAAGTAATATTTTCAATTCTTGGGTCTAATGAGATATAGAAGTTAAAAATAAGGGATAATAGGATATTTTCCCTAAATGATAATCACAAAGCATATATTCCATTAACTCTTAATAATCACCAAATAGTCTTGAAATTTTCAAATCAGAAAATAATTCTGATGGCAAGATGTCACTAAATTAAATTTCAAAAAGCAAGATAGCATTCAAGGTCTTGAATGTCAAAAGTTTAAAACAGGAATACATGAATTAGACATAGGAAAAAAGCATAGAGAATTTGATAAAAGGGAAGTAGTGGGTTTACCAGTAAAGCAGGATAGGATTCAAAATCGGCCAGCTTCCACACTTTCCCTGTCAGTGGCTCAGGAAGCTGGATATTCAGTATAAAGAAAACTCACATCAGCACCCCATAAAAGCAAAAATAACAAACACAAAAGCGGCAAGATGTAGAACTCCAATGGAAGGACAAGTTAATTCTACCAAAGAAAGCAATTGAACAAGAAAAAGCAATCAAGCTTGGGAAACAACGAGAGACATGGTTTCGAGTTCAGCAAAAATTTGGCTGGTTTAAAACCCAAATCAAAATTAAAATGGAATATAAAGACCTGAAGCGACTATCATATCATGATTTTGAGAAAAATAGGTCAAAATATAAAATAAAATTTCAGCAAAATTCCTGCCATCTTTTAAGAGAAATTCCGCATTATCACCCCATTAGCCATTCATTAGGTTGGGGACAACATTGCAACTCAAGTTTACCCCCACTTATGGCAAAAGTCACTAATATTTGACGAGAAAATCGCCAAAATTCCCTCAAATTTTGATCATAAATTCACTATTTTCTTCAATTTCTATCTAAATTTGAAATAAAGTTCCCATGTTCACATGTCACCCATTTCCTCCGACTCAGAGTAATATACCAAATTAACTTCCGCCAATTGGTGAAATTCAACCAAAATTTTAGCCAAAAAAGTTTAGATGGTCAGTGATATTGCAATAAATAATTCCCCAAAATTCACTACAAATTTCAATGGAATTTCAACTGAGATTCCTCCCATACTATAACAACCATCCAAGGTCCATTTTTCCAACCAAATTTCTCATGCTTTCACCTATTTGGGCCATTTGTCTCCATTTCATTGAAACTTCAATCAATTCATCCGAAACTCCATCAAAATTCAACCAATATATGGACAGAATTGAGCAAATTCCCGTAAACACTACAACCAAAAAAGTCACTAACTGTAAAAAACTCACCTCAAACTCTGGAGCTCTAAAACCCATGGAGACGCCAACTGACTCTGCTCTGGCCGCTCTCACCAACACAAAACTGCTTCCTCTTCCTGTTCTTCTTTCACTTCTCTCTCTAAAACAAAGGTCGAGCCGTGGAGAGAGACGAAAGTAGGAGGAATAATGGCGAGTTGCAGAGTATAAGGGTTCTTTTAGGGAAAGAAACGGGCTTAGGGTTAGGGTTTTTAGGGGCGGAGTGGACAGCGTCCGAAGTAGCAGTCCAGTGGCGAGAGCCATACGTTTTTAAGCACGGACGCCTTTCAAAAAGTCCAATACGCGAAAAAATAGAAAGGAGGGGCAGAGGATAAAATGAGGCCTAGGCCTTATAAAAGAAAATAAAGCTTCATCTCAAAACTCATCAAAAATGCAGTTTTGGCATGGGAAAATATTCAAATCGATCATCTCGGCCTGTATTGTTCTAAAATTCACGGGTGGCGATTAGGCCACCCATTAGAATAAAAAATTGTTTTAAGTTCAAATTTTATGTAAAAGTTTAAAAATACATATTGAGATATATTTTAGTTCATAATTCCATATTTTTCAATTTGAAATATATTAAAAATAATATATATATATATATATATATATATATATATATATATAACCCTTCAATCATATAGAAATAAAAATAAATAAATAAAATTCTAGTTTAGAGAGATAGTCTCTAATGGGATTTAAGTTTGAAATGAACCTAAACCCACTTTTTCTCAAAAATAACTGTGAGGGGCATTACCTCTGCTAGGCACTGGCTGCATATTTTTATTGCCTAGACATGCTGGACCTTGACCATTATAATTGTGGAAAAAAAATAGCATTTCAAATCTTAAAAGAAGTGGATATTGTAATATATTATTGACACCATCATTTTTTTAAGCGTTCATAAACCCTTCATATCTGTCCCATTTTTTTTACTTTAAATTTAATATTCGGCAGTAGAATTTGATTTTAGAGTAATCAAATAGTTTCTCATGCCCAAAATATTTCCCATACATGGTTTTCCTACATGAGGCTTTACCTTCTTTTCATAACGCCTAGGCCTTGTAGAAACTACATAAAAAAACGTCAAATGATTGCAGGGAAAGGCTTCTATACTTCCCCTAAGCATATAAGATCTATGCTTCCTCTACCATCCAGCCGTCTAATTTTGATCAAGAGTGCCACTCACCGTTTGATCTTAAACCTGATGTCTCAAAATATTTTATTTTTAGTTTTTTTATATAAATTGTATGAATATGAAATTTGGTACATGTCATCTTCTCATTGGAGCGCACCTATAAAAAAAATTTGATAAAATATAATGACCAAAATACCCCTTAAAAATTTCAGATGTATTTTAGATATTTTATTTTATTGAAAATATTTTTTATATTTTTCACTAGTGCGAGTTTAATAGAGGATTGGACGTACAAAATTTGGTTTCAAAATAGTTTATAGAAAAAAATTAAAAATAAAATAGTGTAGAGACGTGACATTGTGATTAGGACAATCATAACCCTCCATTCATAATGGACATTTGGATAAATAGAAATATATAAGTTTTATGTTGTAGAGCAAGCATAAAAAGCTTGCCCATTGCATGCTCTCTCTACTTACTGCCTATTATAAAATCCAAGTGGGAATTATTTTAGGGCAAAAACATGTTGTGCTCCCACATGAGCATACGTTTGTTTTACTCCCTCATGCAAAATATATGTTAAGAATATTTTTTGGATTTCAATTTTTGGAGGTGTAATTTCTATAACCCAGAGACCAATCTGAGAAAAAAAAAAAAAAGTAATTGGGACTTTTGATGCTTTCGAATATGGAAAAAGTTTATAAAACATTGCAACCTTAAAGTGTAGAACTATATATACACTTCAAAAATCCATCAAAAAAAATTATTTTAATGTTGAAAGACCTTCTAATTTATCATCTTGACATCGAGTATGAATATATATAAAAAAATATTTTGCAACACATTATCTAGACCGTCCATTTTCAAGATTTTCATATGATTAAAGATCTATTTGATTTTAACTTTTTTTGGAGTTTAAAATTTTATAATTAGATATGAAAATAGATTTTGAGATAATCCTAATGATTTTTGAGATAATCCTAATAATTTTAAGACCACGCCCTTCAAATATAGTGACGTGTCCCAATATTTAACAAGAACTCTCCAAAAAAATTTTAAGGAAAGATCTAGGTGTTCAATGACTCAAATTCCAATTTTTTCTTGAAAATAATAATCTAGTATATTTAGATCAAAAAAATTTGGATCAAAAAAATCTCCCAAGTGTATGGCAGTTGTTTTACAGCATGATTCTATGGGAGTGTGCTTGGATGTAACCTCTTCAAACCACTGACCTCAATAAAAACTTTTTTCCAAATTTCCCTATTCGTACTTAAAAAATAATATATCAGGATTTAATAGAGACGATTCAATTTTTTAGGGTGAAATCTAAGTATTAAAAAAAGTCAAAAGTAAAAATTTTTTTTTGAAAATGATCATCTAATTAGTTTTAGGTAGATTCCAACAAAAATTTACAAAAGGAAGCAGTTAGCATGCGGCCAAGCCTTACAAGTAGAAATGCGGGCTTGACAATCAAAATATATTTTTTAAATTTATTTGATCCTAATTTTCAAAGAATATGTAATCTTCAACATGGAGATAATGAATTTGAAAAAATAAATAAATTTTGAAAACTATAAATAATAATTATATTAAAAAAAATGGACCATTAATTACAATTGTTTTTAAATGGACCGCCTATATGCATCCATCTTTAACTTTATACCTCTAGACCGCATCTTGTAGACATGCGGTCCAGCCCACATGAAACAATTGGTTTTTATAAAAACTTCCAAATAGTTTTTTTATCCAAGAAAATAAACAAACAGGATGCTCCTATAGGATAAAAGACATCTTGGATCTCAACTACCCGAGATCTTGGATCTCAACACACCCAATGCTAGCGTGCAATCAAGACGAGCAGATTGAACTTGTTTGGCACATGCACCTAGAAGTTTTAAGTATTAAACAACAAGAAGGATAAGGTTTCTATGAATTCATGTCTCATCTATTTAAATGAATCCTCTCTCCAAAATCTACTTTATAAATGGATTTTGGATCTAAAAGTTTAGATATCTAAAGGAATATTTAAAGGGAATGAGACAATTTACATTTGGTATAAGGTGATCACAATTAATCTTGACCATTGATATCAAATTGGGTGGCTGCAGTTATTTCATTGAACAAACTCAAAGTTCAAAAGAAATTTTTTCGAACTTTGTGAAAACACCCAAGCTATTAGATTTTACATTTGATGGTTATAAGTAATTGTGACATCTTTGAATCAAAGGTAAATGGTCTCATTGCATACAATCTCATATCTAAAATCTAAATTATAATTTATAGAAATATAAAAAGAAGAAATAAGTTTAAAAAAATAAAAATGAGATTTGTTTTTAAAATTATATTTTAACACGTTTAATTGTGAACTTCGGCCACCATTCATTGACATCCATCTACAAGATGCATGCTAAGTGCGCCAACCTACCCTGAAGCACGTTCCACTTTTCCTAAAAACAAAGTATTAAAATAAAAAACTACATATGGTTACTACATAATCATCGGTGATTATTAAAATTAATGAAATTTGAAATCAAGTTCATAAAGAAGGATAATATTATTTGGCTTTTTGGATTTCAAAAGTTTTGTTTTCTGAAGGAAAAATAAATAAAAAAATAAAATAAAAGAAAAAACTCTGCCCACACATTTTGAACGAAGTTCTTTAGAAAATAGAGATTCTTGGTTTTTTTTTTTTTTTTTTATTTGAAAATATTGACTTTATTTCGTTTATATAAAAGATACAATACGATACAAATGCAAGGCATATTCATACCCTGGTTACTAGTCAAATGTAGGCAAAAAAACTGAAGAACGATTCTCCATTCCCACATTTTCACCGCAAAGTAACCTATTTGATTTATTTGCATCTCTATCCTGGTTGCTCATTTTCATGCCAATTCATCGACCATATCATTTTTCTTTCTATACACATGTACAAATGCCACTTCTTTTCCTTAACAGATGTCTTGGATCTCATTCCATAACCTCTTTGAATTCGATGGTACTGTCATTTCCATTTACACAATGATATTGCATTCTAAGAGTCTTCTATGAGTCTTGATTGGTAATTTCAACCCTTGTATTAAAACTCTCAACTCTGCCTGGTTAGCATTAGTAATATCTATCATAGAGCCTTTGAACTATTTGGGGTCAACTATATGAATATTGGTCCGTCTTTCTGCTCTATCAAAAATAGCAATAATAATACCCATTGGTCTTAAAAATGAAGCCAATACATTACCTTAGGAGTCTCTAATCAAACCTCCTACTCCATCTATACCTGGCTTAGGGTTGCAATCTCTTGCTCTCCCATGCTTCCATCCTTTTTGGCTCCATACTTCTTTAGCATTATACATCAAATCATTCTTTGGTATGCCCTAGATTTCTTTCATAACTGATGCCCAATCGGTAGCCATCAGCCTTATTTTATGTTTTAAATGTCCTCCTCAGTAATGCCTCTTTCTAAGGTTCTTCTATCTTTCTTTCCATACTTCTCACAATAATGTATCCCTCCAAATTCTCCATACACATCTCCCACTCTTGCAAGGGTCCTTGTATCTCCATATTTTTCAGGTGAGTCAATGGGGACAGGGCCCCTACCTTTGGTAGAAATTGAGCTTAGGACGTAATGCTGCAAATTGTCGAGCGCTAACCAATTAATCTCGAGCTCTTTGCCTATAATAGTTCACTCTTTGGACAAAATGGTTAACTTGGCCTCTCAAGTCCTTGTATCTCCATTTGCAAAAAAATGTTTCTTGAATGCTCCGGCAATTGGATTTGGAAACCAAAATCTATCAGAGACTTTTATTTGCTTTCCCATCTCATCAAATTTGTACTATTATAATTATCAACCAAGTCCCTATCATTTTCAGCCAAAAGGCAAATCAGTATCAGACTCTGTATTTCACTAAAGACAATCGAGAGAATGCAACTCTGTGAGTTCTATAATGAGTGTTTTATTCACCTCAAACTACATGCATCACAAGCGCTTTTTAATATTTCGAAGAAAGCGGAAGCATCTCTTGATTCTAGTATCAATCAAAATCAGCTATCCCCATAAAATCGATCTACAAGTGACATTGATTGTTAAGTGATTTTTCACTCGATACTTTAAACCAAAATTTTGTGGCGTGCCATGCTCAGAATACAACTCAGGCTGC